GTCTTATGTAAGGCAATTATGGTGAATGTTTATCACATAATCTGATATATTTGTCTTAGTACATATGTAATGTTATATAAAACTAACGTGTTCTCACTTCAGCAATGACTTCTATCAATGGAATGCATGTGTAAGTCGGACTTTGTGGAATACATACTTCACTGACCTTACAGTCATGACCTTTGCACGGACCATCTAGCTCCTGAAAAATGATAAGAAAAAAATTACATTAATGCCTATATTTTCAATCTCGTATTTTCATAATTCCCCCTCTTCAAATTACTATTATTTCAGCGTTGGTGAACTGTTTTGGATCTGTAGTATTATACCTTTCACAGAAATATTTTTTATGAAGACGCAATGTATATATCTTTGAGAATCACAGTAAATTTAAATTGGTCGAACAATAAAAGGAATTGCTTGTACGAGATTTCTTTAGACATATATATGACAATATGACATACATGTATATTAATAATGTCACCATTCTGGTAATGGTATTGAAACACAGCTCATATCCCTTTTTTGTTTAAAAATTGTAATTCGATTGTTAAACGATATAAACAATAGTGACATTGAGTTATTTTATATTAATTAGGTGTAGTATAGTACAAATAGCAAATGACACCTTTTTGTCATATTAGAGTTACTTTTTTTAATTCAATTTTGTCTAAATAAATTATATTCATTGATATAAATGTTTGATACCAACTAGTGTGTCCATCAAACATTTGTCGTAATTGCCTTTTATTAGAGACGCTCGAAATACTTTGGAAATCAAACAGATTGAATTTTTCAAAGATAATACAATAACAGTTTCAGTTAGATGACGATCACAATATGTATTTGAATATAGTACAGAGAAATTTGCTTCTCATGGGACCAGTAGGTGGTTTCCACGGAGCCTGTAATACACTAAATGCCTATGGACTGAAATCAATCTAAAGTGTGAGGACATGACCAGTCATAGCTTGTAAAAATTCAGTCACACCAAAAAGTCAACAAATAATAACAACAACTAACATAAAAAGTAGCCAATTTTGAACGTTTACATTTGATTGCTATATATAGCGTGTAAAATGATAACAAGTTGGTTTTAAGAAATACTCATATTTAGTCAGTAAAATCCAAAATACAACCTATGGAAAGTTCCCTTTCGAATAATGGAAATACATAAAAGACCAATTCAAAATATATCTGGAATTGTGATGTGTATAGTATAAATAAAACTGACAAATATTGATAGTGAGTGGATATTTTGACTTGATAGTGTTAAACAAATATTTTATAGTATTTACCTTTGGAAGACTCGAGGCCGCAACAAAGCTATTTTCCAACACTCCCAATGAGTCCACCCTTATTTCCTACGGGTTCAGCATAATTTATCTGACAAGTTGTAGTCCGTGCTATAAAGTTGATCGATTTGCATATTTGCATTCTCGAGCAAAGTTGGGCCCATAATGACCACATCGGCCCCAAACAACACGTGGCAATGAAATATTTTGTCTTTTTGTTTTTTGACAACAATGCTTTCACATAATGTCCACACGAAAAGAAAAAGCAATTGAAAAGAACAATCGAAATATTGTGTTCCAATTCACACACATTGAAAGTAATGATGTTACTTCCTTTCCCGAAAAGCTTTGTATGAGTTCAAGGTTTGCGTGTGTTCAAGCTTTGCATATGTTTAAGATTTCAGTGTGTTCACGCTTTGCATGTATTTAAGCTTTGCGTTTGTCCATGAGGACTGTTTCATTGCTCTAACATAGCACTACAAAATCTGCTGGTTTATTATTAGTAATATTTAGTAATGAGACAAATTATTATGTTTTTAGGTGTAAACGAGGGGCAAAAGATACCAGAGGGACATTCAAACTCATAAATCGAACATAAACTGACAACGCCATGGTAATTAATTCTTTTACAACTGCTATCAATCTTAGAAAAGAAAAATGCTGATAAAAGAGGAAATGCTGAAGACAATTTAATATTAAATCATGTAAAATTTCAGTATTGTTAAAAGTCGTTGATGTGGTTTTACTATTTTGTCGATATTTTCTTTTGCTTTTGTCACGATATTCCATTTAAAATATTTATTTGTAAGTAACGATTATAAATAATACTGTCATACGTGTTATGTTTTATATGATTTTGAAAAAAGGATATGCCAAGGTTATCTTAGGGAGAAAACAAAAAATAAACAAATTCTATATAAAAGAAACAGCTGGTTCATTTCTTATCTTCCTTTTAGCAATTGCTTTGATAAATATTACGTAGATTATATTCATGTTCATTACAAATGCATATTTATACCCTGAAGGGTTGATGGCATGCAATGATTAACAAATCAATTATACAGGCAAACGTGCTGTGGTTTATCTATATGAATCATAGATTTCGAAAAGAAAGAATATTTTATGGTTGTACATGAAAATAATTTCTAATAGTACGTAATTAAAAAATAATATATAAAAGATGTTAAAGATTCAAAAGGGTTATTTCCGATCTTCATTTTAACAGCCGCTTCGATGACTTCCGCGTAGCAATAAACCTTCGACACAATTATTAATCTTTCATCAAAATGTATGCATGTACCTAAATGTGGTTGTTCTTGAAAATGAAACAATGAAAGACACACACACACACACACACGTTAATTAAAAAAAATCTACTGTTTGTTTTGAAACGAATAAACAAACTTATACATGTATTTACCTAACAGCCCGTACTCGCATTCCTTTTGTCAAAACAGCGGTCTTTTGTGAGAAAATAATTGATGGAAAAAAATCAATCTTAAAGCATTACAAGAGTTTTACACTAAACAATTTAAAAATGGAATTTTGGAGAAATTCAGCATTTCAAATCTTTTTTTAAGAATAAATCAGCTCAAAATCGATCAAAAAGCATGCCTATAAAATATTAGTAAGATCGCAAATGGAATACGCCACGACAGTACGGGACCCGTACCAGCAAAAACACATAGATAAAATTAAAAAAGTACAACGACGAGCTGCACGATATGTAACCAGTAGACTTATAAATAGATCAAGAGTTGCTCAACATGATAACTGAATTAGGATGGAAAAGCCTACAAACAAGACGAAAAGAAGCTCGACTCATCATGTGTTACAAAATAACAAATGACCTTTGTAGCCATAGAAAAGAGTAAATACCTACAAAAACCAACAAGAAGCTCTAGTTGGACAGGGCATTATACTTACATATTACAGCCAGCACCCAGAGATTATATGAAATGGTCCTTCTTCGTAAACACCGTCAAGGATTGGAACAAACTGCCTCCAGATGTCGCCACAGGAAAGTCTCTTGAGATATTCAAGACGAAAGTGACCAAAAACTCTAAAAATGTCAACTCAGCAATTTGTTTTTAACAAGTTTTTAATCATGCACAACTTGCCAGAATATTCATCATATTGAATGTGGGCAATATTTGGAAGAAGACATTACACGTAGTCTTTTTTCTCAGTTCAGTGTTGAGCGTTTTGACAACCAAAAAATTTCTAGACCTCGATAGTTTCACAAAGGGGTAACTGACTCCTGATGTTTGCGTTATCAACAAATACCGGCTGTTCAAAATGAATATTGATAAGGAAAGTTCTAAATTTTAGATAAGTGAATGACTTATTATATGAATATAAAAACTGCAAGTAGTAATTTGCAATTCTTTCAACTGAACTTTTAAAATGATCGAAATCTAGAATTGCGCAATCGTTTGAGCGATCAGTTAAAGATACATTATGTCAGGAAGATGCTTCGTAAGTAATCATGCGATTTTGAATATTTTGTGTTTACTTTAACTATTTGAATCATTCCGTCTGTCGGATCGAAGGTTGATTTGGCTATTTTGTGTGAGTTTTGCTGTTCTAAGGTTAGCTCATTTACCTAAATTAGAATAATAAAAGTTACTAACTGGTAACAGACGATTTAAGTGTACATAATGATGGAACTACGCAGTCAGCTGATTTTTGTCTTCTTCCGACCAGATATGTTATTAGAAAAACAATAAAATATCTCATTTGAAGGATAGTTGACCGTAAGCCTGCTTTTTGTTACATGATTGAAATTTGTCTTAATTGATTCACAAGGTGTCACATGCCTAGCAGGTAACGGGTTCCCTGTCCACGTAGAAGGTCTTTCGTCGTTTGGATTTCAAGTGTTTTTTTCAGAAGGTTTTTATCTTGGTTTGACGTATTCAAACAAACTAACATATATCGAGAAAAATCAAATTTAAAATAGGTAGAAGATATTAAGGGAACATTCAAAACTAATAAGTCGAGAAAACTGACAACACAATGGTAAAAACGAAGGCAAAGAAAGGACAAAGAAGCTCACAATACATTACCAGAAAATTAAGATTTAGTAACACAAACATGGATGTGATCTCAGGTGATTCGAATGGTCAGTAGATCATGTTCCATTAGTGGCATCCGTCGCTCAACTCATGTACATATTCGGTGATTATCATTTTTTGCATCTTCTTCTGGATGCGTCCACAGCTTTGCATGTATTACAAGCCATGCGAATCAACACTCAGTCAAACTTTAACAATTGGGCGATGGACAAAATCTGCGAAATCAAAGATCACAAGACTATACTGGTATCTAAGGATCGCAGACTACGAAATCATGTCATCAGTGTGTTGAGAAAACGACACACTGTATCGGTCAACAAATGGGTGATAGTGACTGTAAAACTTTAGTCGTGTTCATCCTTATGACTCTGTTGGAGTAGTATTTGTGTAAGATGCACACACCTGCCAGTGACGTCTGCTAACATATCAACCTATTTGTTGTGGGAGCCATTTTTGCTATTTACAAATTACGATTTGTCCAGATCTTAACATGGGCATTGTGTCTACGTTCTTCGATTTTGTATAAAAAGCTCTGCTTAATGAAACGATGAAGTCGATTTTCATTTGAGCATCATAAATACTAGTGAAAAGCAATAATCAATTTGAATCGTAACATTTTTTTTTTGACATGCTTGTTTTTATTTTAATATTGAAATCTACTTTTTTATTCTACCATAGTTTTGAATCATTATAAAACATTACTATAGCTTTGACATCAGTTCGAGGCATATATGTAAAGCAAAAATTATACAGTACGATAGCTTCTTACAATTTTGCAAACAGTTTTGTGAATTTTCCAGTTCGCTATTTGACATTGTTTTGAACAATACGTAGATATTTTACACCTACTGCATATAAGTAGTTTTTCTTCACTGATAAACAAACACTGAAAACAAAAGTGAACGAGAGACGGGTTGCGCGCATACCATGTACTATACAAAATAACCAACGTATGTAATTTTGCTGAATTGAATTGGTATTGTTTCTGTTTCATTTCATCCGTTAAGATCATAAAACATAAATCCCAAGAATTTGTTATTTCCCATGACTTTGCTAAATGCATTAGCGCTAACGGTGTCTCATAATTCGAGCAAAAAGTCCAAGCCAACAAGTTGTTAGCTACATCACGATGTCTGACATTTTTGCCTAAAAGCAAAGTATAAATACGATATCTAGCGTCTTCAGACTCTTTAAAACGTCCAAGTTTCTTTTTTATTACATATTTTAGTAAGAAAAAGTAAATATTGCAGTCAACAACAGCCCTGTAATGCCAAAGGCAACGCTTGTATGCTCTTTCTTTTTCATTTAAAGAGATACCGAAATATCTGAATATTTCATATGTCAATGCATCTGGAGCAATTGAAAGTTCCGTTGGGAGAAAAGAAACGCATGTCAACACCCTCAAACTTGAAGTATTAATAATATTTTCCTGTGCCATTGAGGAATCACTTTTAATATATCTACAATTACAAATCGATGGATTATCTTGTTTGCATTCTTCATTTAATTTATCTAACCACCACTCACAATCTGCATACAACCTAGCAGCATACAGTACTGATATCAACTTCAGGCGGCCAGGTAAATCTCCTTTCATAAAGAATAGACAAGATCCGAGTAAAAGGAAATCTCGAACTTGAGGATTTGGATGACGAATAGCCATTGCAGACACATTACTTGCCAAACAAGTGAAGATATAGGGTTTCAGTAAAGATAGAGAGTTGTTCGTCTCTTGTTGGGTATGTTCAGTAAAAGTGCCAGTGCATGCATATTGAATACGATCTAGCATAAACCAAAGACAATCTACAAAAACATGAACGTCCTCATTGGCTTGGTAATAAAAATGTTCAAGTATATCATGATTAAACGCAGATAGCGTTGAAACGATAGTACGTGTGTGTACAATGTATATGGCTTCATTGTACAATTTTTTACTGTTTGCTTGGAGCCATTCATACCATTCTGAAGATCCCCGTGATCTGACATAGTCACATATATTGTTTCTTTTCACTAACAACAAACATTCAAATCCTACATTTAAAAGTTCCTCTAGTATGTTTTCTGATGTTAATCTTAAACTCCCGTTTAGTCGTCCATCAAATAAGTTTTCTCTTGGAATAAAATAGTTTGGACAAACCCCATATTTAACCCACTTAAGCATTTGTTTGATACACAACGTTATGCAATGAAATAGGTTTTTCTTTTCCCAAACATTGCTTTTACTATTTTCTATTACATAGAATAAACACGTCTTCCAATGGTATGTAGTAATGCAGTCCAAATTAATAACGTCTCGATTAAGCATTTTAAGAACAATGTAACATTTATGTTGAACATCTGTTAGATTAAACATGAGTTTTCTCTCTTGTAACGAAAACGATACTCTCCATTCGAGATCTAATTCTGATGAAAACGGATGACCTTTTCTGACAACAAAGAATCCTAGTGATTTTAGCTCTTGTATTGTATATTTTGTAGGCCAACCATGACATCTTTGACGGGAAAGCCACTCATCTGCCATTGTAGGCCATGTTTTGCATCGATAGGATATAACAGTATCAACGTTGAGGTCATAATACTTCTCAAACTTAATAGCAGGCTTATTCTTTGGTCTTGAAAATAGCTGATGTGTATACGGATTCATTAAAAAGTCATATAAAACTATTCTTCCGAATCTATCAATTTTTAAATTATTCGTCTTACCATCAACACACAAGAGAGGCCAGTCTGTAGATGTACACGGCTTATTTCCCATAACGAGTTGTAGTTTTACGTATCCAGCAGGTGTAAATAATTCTCGTACGATCAGTAACGAATACAAATTATGTTTAGCTGATGCTGTGTGTTCGACGACAGGAAACATTTCATCACATCTCATGCGATCAATATCATTTGGTTCATCTGTAAATTTAAAGATACAGTGTCATCAAATTCTCTGTTTACGTCCATGATATTTTATATACAGTATATACATGCTTCGGCTGTTGCTTTGATTGAATTTAATGGTCTACTTAACAATAATGGAAGTATTTTCAAAACAATAAGTAGCTCAGTCTTTCAATTTCACAATTAGTTTTTGCCAGTTTATTTCATATACGTTTAAGGCACCTAAAAATGTTGGTCCTTTTATCCAAGCTTCACTGCTCTCAACCGGCAAAGGTGTTTTCGTAATTTTCGCAATACCCCGATTCGTCTTTTGCTTACTTACCATATACTTTATTGCCTAACATAGTATCAGTTATTGATCTGAACGTTTTGAATTTAACCAGAGAACGTTCAAAAAAGATAATGCATTGCAGTTAAACGGCACACAAATCATTCATCTATGTTGTGCCATATTAATAAAGAAGTGATGAAACATCAATTTGTTTGTAATTTTAGTCTTTGTTACTTTCATACAATTATATCGCTGACCAAATCATGTTAGAATGATAGATGTGCGTGAAAGGATTTGAAACGAGGTACAGTGAGTTTTCTTCGAATTCATAACTAACACTGCATGTACTGTAAACGTAACCCTCGCGATAATGAATAGCCAATATCAACATTAGTTTGATCGAAATTCCTACAATTTTAAATAGTTTTGAAAGAAAGCGTTTTATTTTTTTTTTTTTTGTTCTGGAATTGTTCTATAAAAATGAAGTTGGAAATCATTGTTCTCAGCAAATAATTGGTCAACATTTAATTATGACGTCACGTTTTCTTGGTTTCTTCTGAATTTCGTATTGTGACGTCATGAAAAAGGGGATCATGTCTGATGACGTCACATATAAGGAACACAACTCTCTGCAAATCTTTGAAAAGGAAGGATAAACTTTGTTAAGATATCGTCTAGAAATCATTAGAAAAACAGATTCCACCACTATAACTCGTGTACTACGATACTTCTACGCTTTCAAAAGTTAAATCTTAATTATTTAAAAACCTCGGCAAGATAAGAAGATTTTTGTTTTTTATTATGTTGTTTGATATCTTGAAATAATAAATGTAAAAGGTGAATAAGTATATGAATAACGCAATAAACAGGAAACCCAATTTATAAAAAAAAAGAAAACTGCTAACTCATAAAACACAAAACCAAAATATTTATTTCACAACAGTGTCATTTTCCAGAAGTTCGAATTCTTCAATCTTGACTTGAACTCATTATACCCAGTGTGTTCTGTAGGTTTTTAACTATATGGTGGCTTATTCCTAGGCAGATCACCAAATTATCAATTTAATTAAGAAAGCTTAAGCAGCAGTATGGGCATATTTTGTCAAATTTTTAAAGTGTATCTCATAATATAGAACATTTAATATACACTCCTTAACAAACAATTTCCTATAGGATTTTACAAGTTTTTAAATGTTGACATTGGCGATAGCACTCTATGTGTTTTTTACCTGGTGTGACTGCACCTTCAAATGTACTTCCCATGTTATAACAGGTCAATGGGTTTCCAAAAGTTGAAAGAATCTCTTGCTTTATGCTCTCTCGTTGAATAGATTTTCTGTAATCATCATTTGCCCCAATTATGTGTAGTGTGTCAAACAACCAGACACTATCATCTTCCTCATTTGAATACAATTTTCCTGTTAGTGCTAAAATTAGAATATAATTGAAAATTCATAAATACAACTATAATCGTGTTATGAACCTGTTATTCAGTAGTTGTCGTTTGTTGATGTGGTTCATAATTGTTTCTCGTTTCTCATTTTTTATATATATTAGGCTGTTGGATTTCTTTTTAAAATTGTTTTACACTAGTCATTTTGGGATTCTTTGTAGCTTGCTGTTCGGTATGAGCCAAGGCTCCGTGTTGAAGGCCGTAGTTTTACCTAAAATTGTTTATTTTTTATACATTTTACATTTTGACTTGGATAGAGAGTTGTCTCATTGGCACACCATATCTTCTTATTTCTATAAACGATAACAAACAATAATATTCAAATTTCTAATATGAAATTCTATTTCTTCTTTTTTGGGATTCTGTACAGGCATTACAGTTAAGTTCTGTTGGTACTGCATACTTGATTGTGACCTTATAATTCAACAGTTACTTAAACGTCTCTTGTCGGCAATAGTTACCTGATAGAGCAAATCAGTCCCTATATTTACTTTTGGCTATTACTTACCTTTCTTGTAAGTTATTACCGTTGGGTGCAGACAAAGCATATTATTAACAAAACGAGTTTAATATTGCGTGCACAGATATCGTTTCTTGACCCTGAATTCTGTATTTTCTAGTTAGTTTGCGTTTACTATGATAACTTTTACGTAGACTAAATAAAATTTACCATGTCTGCTCGTTTAGCGAGTAGTTAACGAGCATTATTATATTGTTCCCATATTTGATTTTTTTACGTGCATTCGAAAGAAAGTGCGAAGGTTATTTTCATGATAAATATTCGTGACATTAAATTCAAACAACATTTTCCTTTTATGGTAGATCAGGGTTCTACATTAACATCGATGGAGAGGTTTTATAAAAAATTGCAAAAATGAAGTTAATGTGCTATTTGAAAAAAAATATAGTAAAATATATCTCCTGTATTGAATTATTACACCAAAAAAGTTTGTAAAGCTAGCATCATATTCATATAAGATGCAGCCAATTATTTTTTAAGATAAGGTGGTTTTCTTATACTTGTTTTTATTGAACAATGGTGTATGTTCTTTTATATGCGTTTTCTTAACCTACTTGCCAATATAACAAAGGAATTGTTGTTTAATTTTCTAAAAGAAGAGTTTTAACGCCAAATGTAAATGTGCCTGTTCAAAGTCAAAAGCCTCATCCGTAGGTGTCGTCGTTGTACGCTATGTCCTTCGGGTTCATTTTCTCAATTGGATATTGTTGGTTAATTTGCTTTCATTGGTTTTCTGTGCATTGATAAATAAATATTTAAAATTTTTAATGTTTCTGTAAACTTGAAAATACACTTTGAATGAACTCAACATTAATACCTTACCTTCTTGGCTATTTCTGTTGTCATGCCGTGAATCGTTGAGTGACTTATTCTCCAATTGTCGTGTTGGAAGTAGTCCCCGACACATTACAGTTTTACATTTCTCCATTCTACACAATATCTAAACAATTACTCTATATTTTACATATAGCTGCGTAATATTGTAGAACATATTATTTCCTTATTTCCATTGTAAACAAATGAAAAACTAGAACACGAACAGCTTATACAGGTAACTTACACGAATAGTAAGGGCATCAACATTACGCATTTGAAAAGCTTTATTGATCCCCATTAAACATTAGATGTATCTCTTTCATTTAAGTTTTCGACTCAATTATTGTTTACAAAAGAAGTGATATAAACTCCTCCGTGTAATGTTATTCCTTTTTGTATGTAGTCAGATATATCCCACAAACAATTAGAGCAATATTTTGATTGTGTGGTAATGTCTTATCGCCACACATCGCACACTGTTAGTATCACGAAGAAAATCAAAGGTAAAATGTACAACAGGTGCATTCTATTTGCAAGAGTAACAGTAGTGAATTTTGTTTTCCTTTTATTGTGAGGTTCGTGCTGTTTAATCTTGACTTTTTAGCGTTTTGAGGATTGTTATTAGTCTTTTGTATTCGTTATTTTTCTGTGTTAACTATTGTTTATCACATGCATCAGATTTGTTTTTGAATTATTGTTTTCCATTGTATATTTTAAGACCTTTTCTGTATAAATCACGGTAAAATACAGTCTACGTGAACACATATAATGAACAATTTTGAACTCCCGGATAAATCTAAAACAACACGTTTTTTTTTCTAATTAATATTTTTTTAGAAGTCAAACATAAAAAAAAATCAAACATTCATGTAATGTTCTTTGCTGTTAAAAGTCCATTCTTTCGCCTAGAAGATTTACTACTGCCTTCTATCTAAATACGCAAACAAAATTAGAAATTAACAAAATCATTGAACAGCACAACTGTATCAATGAATCCTCAACACCAATATCTTCATACGATCTTATAAATAAACGAAGAACTGTACTTTCTATTCCATAATGAACATTTCTTAAATGAACATCTCTAATGATGAGATCGGTAAACTTTTTTTTAGATGTCAAAAGTAAAATAACTAAAATACCGAACTCCAAGGGAAATTCAAAACGGAAAAATCAAACGCTCATTCACATATAACGAATGGAAATCACGGGATACATAGCTGATTCTAGAGCAGCATTTTCATTGTCAATTTTTCTCCACCAGGGCGTAATATATCATTGAAATATAGTTTCGGTTGTTTTCGACGGCTGTATTTTGTCTTTGTTTCTGCCGTAAATGTTCACTTTTCGTCATAATTACTATTTTGTGAATTTAAAATCAATATTGTAGACATATTCTGACTTTTTGATACGGGTAAAATTCCACTAGGTTTGACCTTTTTGTAGTTTTTTATGGTTCTAAATACGTAGTTGTTGATATACCATAATTTATTAATGTTGACAATTTGACAAAGTCCTATTCTATCATTCATCATGGCAACCTCGTCCTTTTTTAATGTTTTTATGTTGTCTGCGGGAATTGAAAAACAAATGGTGTTGATCATTAGATATTCATGAAGACAATTTGTACGTGTTAGTTATCCACTCCGGACTATGCATCAATAATGAACGGTGTTTTAAAGCACTGGCTGACATCCTGTATATAATAAGTCGGCCAGGTTTGATTATGTCGGCCGGAAATACATGTATTTTAAGTTTCTAAATGGACATTTTCTTCAGTGAGGCTACTTTATTCTTTGCCACCACTAGAATATTTTGATTTCCAACTATTTTCGCGATGTATACACAATCTACAACGACGTCAGCCGATGAAGGCTCATCCCAATCTACTTTAATCTGTCATATATGGTGCATTAATATTTGACTCCTAACGATACACTGTTCATGGCTGACGGAATATATCATGTTTCGTTGTAATGCTATGCTCTACTGACGGTGGGTCTCTGTGTGCAAATGTGAGTGTGTCGTTTACAGTATCCCATCACAAACCAAGTATCTTGACTTCGTTAAGCTATTTGTATTTTTTTTCAAATACGGAAAATTTCTTTGAATCAATTTACTTTTTTTAAGTTAGCCAATAAGGGGGTTTAACTGAGCGAATCTTTTTTTTTAAATATATAGTAAATTTACTTGTTTTGTCTTGAAACAAGAAAACGATTTCTGTGATCCCGGCGTATCTATCAATTTTCTAAAAGCAAATAATGGGAGCTATATTCCTTTATTTTTTCTGAATTATATCTGTTTTTACACAAATAAACTTTTCGTGCATAAAAGGCCTTTGAAAATAGTGGAATTAATTACTTTTGGAGTGTCAAAAATTCGTTGGAGGTACTTTTGAAGATAAATTGTATGCTTATATTGGTGATTTCGAATCTGTTCAAAGTTTTTTCTACCCTATATACCACTTTGCCTCATAATCTTATGAAGAAAACATTCACACACCTGATTAAATGTGCATTTAAAAAGTCGGAATGCGAATATATATGTTCAAACTCTTTTAGGTCATTTTTTAGGAACAACAAACAAAAGAACTATGTCAAATGGACCTGCTTTGATACTATAACTGCCCTTGATTTTTTACTAGATAACATTTTTGTTCGCTATGGAGATACCGTATATCGTCAGGTTATCGGAATTCCCATGGGGACTAACTGTGCACCACTTATTGCGGACCTGTTTCTATATTGTTATGAGTTACAATTTATGACTAAAATCAGCAAAGACCCATCAAAATCTAACCAAACCATTAAACAGACTTATTCGGAAAGGATATAGTTACGATACTGTTGTAAGATCATTAAGGATTGCATATTTGGTATTAATATTGATTCACTCATAGGGTCTTTGCATCGGAAATAAACACATTTATTCTAAAACCAGTTGTTGGCATGATATGGGTTATGTTCTTCTCATATATTTAATGATGGTATGATACTAAACCCCTAACGGGAGGGATTGTACTTGATATTCATATGATGAAGACATAATCTTGCAATCAGTTTAATTGAGGTCTGGAGCTGGCATGTCAGTAACTGCTAGTAGGCCTTTGTTAATTTATGTATCATTGTAATTTTGTTTAGTTCTTTTTATTACCTATTCTGACATCGGACTCGGACTTCTTTTGAATTGAGTTTCACTGTGCGTATTGCTATGCGTTTCTTTATTCTACATTGGCTAGAGGTATAGGGGGAGGGTTAAGATCTCATAAAACATGTTTTACCCCGCCGCATTTTTGGGCCTGTCCCAAGTCAAGAGCCTTGGGCTTTTGTTAGTCTTGTATGTTTTTTTAATTTTAGTTCATTTATATGTTTTGGAGTTTAGTGTGACGTCCATTTTCACTGAACTAGTACACAATTTTATTTAGGGGCCAGCTGAGGACCACCTCCAGGTGCGGGATTTTCTCGCTGCGTTGAAGACCCATTGGTGGCCTTGGCTGTTGTCTGCTCTTTGGTCGGGTTGATGTCTCTTTGACATATTCCCCATTTCCATTCTCAATTTTATAATCTCTTCATAAAAACTTGATATCAAATATATTTTGCTAAACATTGCCATATTGTTCATGTTGTTAAAAGAGGTGCTTCGGATGAATTGTTCAGCTTGTTTTAAGATGTTGAGTATTCATTTAAACTTATAATTCTTTCTGAAAAATGGCGATGTTCGCTTTCCGAACCCTGCATGACTCAAATTGTCAACAGCGAGACGTCCCACCAAGTGGCGGCATGACTTAAGTAACAAACGTGTTAAACACTTGTACAATGCATTTGTAAATAGCAATGAAAAGTGATTCTTACTTGTTTTTGTTCAAATGTTTTACTAAACGGGAGATAATACGGTTTGAATTATGTTCCGTCGCCCATTCTAAAATGCAGTTTGTATAGATACTTACTCTAAGTCCAAGGGTTAATTCTGAATCAGTCTTTATTTACGTTTTCCCAATTCTAGGTAATTACAGAATATTATAAAACTATTAGAGTCATGCAATATCAATATTTACAGGGACATTGTAATTAAAAGCAAAATTTGAAAAACCAGACACGACATCTGGGAGCAAATTCTTAAAAGTATGTGTTTCAATTGGAAAGGATGTGAACTTACAGTATACATTAAAATAACTGTACAACTTATTAGATGTATCAGTAGTAAACTTTTTCAGCAATCGGTCTTTCACGATACGAGCTTGTATCAAAATTTACGAAGTCTTCTTAAACTTATATTAACTTGAAATCGCTTAGATATCTAACATTTATGAAATACTGTACCTTCCTGAGTATTTTTCAGTACATTTACTGATTTTCCCCACAAGTGTCTTCTTCCGAGGAATCATCGATGCATCAGTTTGTTACACTTCTCTGTAATAGAAATTGATGGTTCACTTCTTAATTATTGAGATTCATGCCTTATTTGTACAAATTAATGCATCATCGAAACACGGAGAGCTTATTCATGTTGATGTAATTCATCACAAATCTAAACTTAAATTTAAATCGTGTTATTATTGTGCATTTGAATACTGTTATCAATCTCAATCTTAATAGATACGCACCAGTTAGTATGCTTTAAAGAATATTTGACAGGTATATAATCTAATGTTGATAATATGAATAGCCTTATGTTAACAACGGTTGTATTACGTTACTAGGTAGCGAAAATAAAGTCAAAACGGTGATTTAAATACACAAATATACACAAGCCATGCAGAAAATTAAGTTTCGAAATAATCATTTTGATAAAGTAACAGATATAATGAAAGCCAATATGTCTTCCGCAAATATCTAAAAAAATAAAAACAAGCATGCCTTTAAAAGTTATGATTTGTATAAATAATGTACAGGTTGATATAAAATCGACACTTACGTACACACACATATTGGTAGTTTTTTGTACAAAATATACAATAACGAATACTTTACACAACGCATATCTTTTTGTAGCATAATAGTTTTTGGGTTAACATTGGCCTATATTCAACTACTTGGTACAACATTTCAAATTAGAAAAAGATATTTTGCCAGATTTGAAATTCATGCAAACTTGGTGCACACAGGCAAAATAAGAAAAAAAATCATTTGAGCAATAGAAATGTAATTTCTAAGTCAAATGGAAAAAACAGTGCAATAACAAAACAATAATAGGAAAAAGAAAGAAAAAGAAACAATAACAAAATAAAAGCAAAGGAAAAGAAATATTAGGCAACGCGAGCCCTCCCCAAATATGGAATTAAACCAGGGGAATGTAGTTTCTTCTCTACATATGTAGGACAAAATCAAAAAATATATATACTGATGTCACACTTACTAATGTGTTACAGACATCTGATATAACAATTAATTTACACTATAAAAATTGCTAAGTAATATACGTGTACCAACACACTGGAATTTCTCAATTATTTTCTGCCGTCATAACTGTGTCTATTCATGGCTTTATTGACACGTTGCAATACGATACATGCAAACTTTATTTTGTTAAATACACGCAAATTATTGCTATGTAGTAAGAGTTCTTCTTTCAATGCAGATACAGTGCAATTAAATAATTAAATCCTGTGTACATATATCTTTTCTATCAACTAATGCATTACACTATTCTATTATAGATCAATGATTCATTGTTGTAGTAACATTTTTTAACTTTATTCATATCAAGTTTTCAATAATATTTGACGGATACCTTATATAAATGTTGCAAACTATTTTATCAGACTCCCAGTCAACATTTTAATATTGTTTTGAAAACCATATGTGCCAATTTTTTAACAAGCTTGATGAAATTTGAACACATCCCAGTAAACAGCACTTCAATGGTGACATGAGTTATCAATCATATGGTCATAATTATATATTATCTCTTTACAAAGCTTTGATTTTAGAAAACCTGTTAGAAATTTGGGTACTCAATGCTCTTCAACTTCGTACTTTATTTGCTGTTTTTTTTAAATTCTGTGATTTGACCGTCATTGGTTAGTCTTCCGCGCGTCTTGCGTTTACCGTTCTAATCCTGGTGTATATGATGCATTTGTTAATAAGCAGATATTATGAAATAAAAAGTGCTGTACACATCTTAAGTTCCTATTTGGAGGACGTCCTTGATTCCATACAAAAGGTCAATTTCCTCAAAGTAATACACGTGTTTAATAATGAATTAATAATTAGAATGTATTGTATAAATGAATTTGTATAATGCCAAAATGAATGAAATCAGAGAGTGAGAGGTGCATATAAAACACAAAACTTATCATCAGCAAGGTAGTTAGTTCTGCGGTACTGACATGATTTATAATAATCTTTTCTAAAATTGTCCGTTTATAAATTTAGAATGTATAACATGTATAAAGAAATTAAGGTTTCAACTTCCTGAGGCAAAGTTGACCTTAGATGGATTTAGCTTTGATCTTTAGGTCCTGATTGGCCATATTGCTCAACTGTTTCGGTTCTTATACAGCCTTGGCTTTCAAATATTCGGCTTTGGGCGTTCTTGCTGAAGGTACATCCAGAAAAGGCTTTTATCTTCTGATGAATAGATACGCTGCTTGAAACAACACAATTAAAATACCCATGTTGTTGATAGTAAATCAATCAATAGCTATAGAAAAACTAATCGAAGAATTCAAATATAGAAACAATTCAACGAGTGACCGAACAACACATTAATTCACGAATGCGCGTAGCGCATGAGTTAATTATCAGTGTTGTTCGGTCACGAGTTGAATATTTTTTGATATTTGAATTATTTGATTTGTTATTCTTTTATTACATTGCCAATGGGCTTTTTGATGGAATTAAATTAGGAAATGCAAGGAACTATATCTTTTTCTACGCATTCATAGTTTGCTTTGATGCGACGTCATCGGCAACGTCTTGACAACACCTATTTTTATATGACGTCAGAGGAGTAGAATAACTGAGTTTATTTCACATGTGAAAATAACGGTCTTTATTTCACAGGGAAATCACGGTAATTCATTTCAACCAATGTAATAATAAAGTTATATCAGTACGGTAACCTCAGTTTTATTAATAATAAACAACAACGAATGCATAAAAGTAGGATTGATTTCATAATATGTTAAAGACAAATATATAATAAATGAGTGACTGAGCAAATTATAAACACCATACATGTGATCATATATTTTTTATCACATTTTGTCACCATCCTTTTCGAATTATGCATAAGTGTAGTATTATTGTATCAATAGTTTAATGTACAGATATCAATGAACCGGATTTGTTGTATTATTTGAAATCTGCTTTTATGTGTAACATGATTCATAAACATGGCTATATTATGTACAAATATATGTAGTAACTTGCTCATTTTGTGTTGTTGCTGTCTTCTTTTAATTATTTTTACTAAATAAATATAATTTTACTATTTGCTATTATAGTGGTAAGACCTGCAAAAAATAGCTACCAGAATAATACAGATCTTCACTACCAGAATGTGAAATGTTTTAAATTAGTCAGATTAACCATTCATGTTGAGAACAAATCCACATGAATTCGATTCTAATCATATAGAGTTATAAGTAAAAAAGGAGATAACTGCGTACTGTTTTGGGAGTATTGGCGCTTAAAATGAAAAGAGTTATCTTTCTTTGAACTCATATGTGTATTTGGATTGCAAGGCAGTTATCTGTATTACTTCACAAGAAACCGTTTAGAGTGAGGGTTTTAGCTAGCTATAAAACAAGGTTTAATCCACCATTTTCTACACAAGGAAATGCCTGTACCAAGTCAGGAATATGATAGTTGTTTTCCATTCGTTTGATGTTTGAGCCTTTTATTTTGCTATTTTATAAGGGATTTTCCGTTTTGAATTTCTTTTTGAGTTCGGTATTTTTGTTTATTTTACTATTTTATATTGATAAGGGACATTTTTTTTGTTATTCTAAAATCAATATAACCTTGTGACATGTATGTATATATAGTATAGATAGTTATACACTCAGGACACATATTTCAATTATGAATTCAACACAATTATCGAATTGTTTTTCTCCATGTTTTTGTTTATTCTACTTGATGGATATGTATATGACTTGTTGAATGAAATCACACAAAAGGTGTCATTAAAAGAGTGCAAATTAATGTAGCTGCCTCATTCGGAAAAAAATTAAGTTATGTACATCATCATACATGTAACAATCCATGTGATTTGCAGGCTTATGGAGGTACTAGGGTCAAAATGAGTTTTTGGAATTTTATGAAGTTTACATAGATTTAAAACACCTTGACTAGTCATTTTGCTAGATTTAAAAAAAAAACAAAAAAAACAGAATAATGGTCAGTTTTTTTAGTTTAGATTTTGATAATTTCCATGTTCATTGTTTATTGTTATATCTTTTTTGGGCGAAAGGGGGATTTCTTATTTTTTAATAAAGCAACATGAAATTGTAGCTTTAATAACAAAATATTTTCTTTCTTTCGTAAGTAATTCTAAATCAATGTTAAGAAAATATTTAATAAACCACCAAAAAGGGGGGGGAGGTTATTATTTGGTGTTCTTTCTAATGGGCATTTTTTTTTATCTTATTGTGAATACAATTTGTACATCTATCTTGACATAGCAATTAAATCAAAGTTCTGTTTATGCAGAATAAGACGAAACACCCAAACAGCAAGATCGATATAGTTAGGGCAAGTAATCGAAAGTGTCGTTGAAAAATTTTCAAAAACACATGCATCTTGTTTTTTGTAATTCTAAGACAGACATAGAAAAAAAAACACTAAGTATAGATTTGAAAGTATTCGCATTACTGATAGCTATTTCAAAGCCAGAAACAACTTATAAACAAATCATGCATCTAAGATTATAATATTAATCAGTACACATCTAACATCCAATTGATTTAGTGTAAAGACGTCATTAACAGTCAGAGACCAACAAGACCTTGTGCAATGACAGGATACAGGTATTTATAGATTGTAAAGACATGAATGTATATATATATAGAATAATATTTAGTTCGATTTAAATCTACTGATTACACAATTTATATTAATCTCAGTAAAAATGCTTATCGCTGATCGTAAACGTCATTAGTGACATCGTTTTTTGTTAACCGTTAATGTTGATTGACCTCCAGCTGATTGTTAATAATGGCTGATCATTGGACACTGTATCAAATCATTGACAATCATACCACCTTTTTTTTCTATTGAATAGTTGTTCTATTTATACACACTTCTTTATTGTTGAACGTTGGATTAGTGTTGCTGTCTGTCTTTTTTGTTGTTTGGTTTCGTTCATATTGACGTATATCTTACATCGTCTTTCTTAATACAAATCTATATAACAAATCTTTTATATTACTTACTTGAAGCATACGTATTATAGATACCTAATAGTCCCCTCGATAAAGTGTCTTTGCTCTGCATGGACATCTGGCATCAAGCACACTACTTAGACTTGTATGAACTATGATTGATGTAATTTCGTAGTTAAATTAATTTTGAACGGAAGCGGTTACTTTGATCTGAACAGCTCTTATAATT